ACTCTTTATCCCATACACGAAACCAATCAAAGCACCCCCTAACTCTTTATTCGCATAATCCTTGTTTAAAAAGGGAGGGAATAGAAGACGTGGAATTGTTATGGAATTGTTTGCCGGTTGCCGTTTTGTTGTTCTTATCCATAATCCTTCTAGAAGCATATTGGGTATTGACACGCCCCTAGATACCACTTTTTCCATTTGAGTTAACATATGACTCATGCCAATGCCACGTTAGTTAATAGATTATTTGTTTATTTCTTAATAATTTTATTAAAAGTTAATTAACTTTTGGATTGTTAAAAGATGAATTTGTTTGGTAAAAAAAAATTTAGATTTTAAAACCATTTGGATGATTTTATATCTTAAACCTTCATTAATCATTTAGCGTGCTAATTTTATTGTAAACAATTATCAAACAATTATATTTCATTTTACATTATATCATTCTAGCCACTTAATCATTCAATAATTTCATTTTTATTTCACTTAGTATTATTTAAAAAGTATTATCTCATTATTATTTTTATTAAATCCTCAAAATTGGATATTAAATGCTCTGGATAAAGAAAAGCTTAGACGACTAAAGGAGAAAGGGGGTATACCTTAATAAGAAAAACCAAATATACTTTATTGACTTTTTCAAGGAGTCAACATGCCTTAATTCTCATGAAAGATATGTCTCTTTCCAGACTAAACCCTCATCCAATGGATTCTAGTTTATCACAACAATTACATATCTTCACTTTTATGCTCCATCATTCTTAAAACCAAAGTTTTTTTTTTTTTTAAGTTTGTAGACTAAGGGGTTGTTTGTTCACCTCTTAAGAGTTTCATTAAAAGGCAACTTTTGAATCGCTAAAAGATTAATCTTGTTTGACAAAAAAAAATGTATTTCTCTTAATGGTTCTAAAACCCTCTGAATGATTTTGTATCGTGAGCTTCCCTTAACCATTCAGTGCCTAATTTCATTGTAAACAATTACCAAACAATTATATTTCATTTTGCACTATATCATGAGAGTTTCTTAATCATTCTACACCAAATCATTCAGCAATTGCCAAACAGCCCCTAAATCAAACGAAACAGACTCGGTAAATTCTAATTAGATATAAGATATGAAAAAACAAACGCTGTAAATCCTAATCAGATATAAGATATGGGAAGTAAGATGTAAATAGACCTTCTATTTGTTTCCAAAGGGTAGATGTATCGTTTATGTGAGTCAAGGTTTAAAATGGCATGTCGCATGGGTTGGTAGCGAGGTCAAGCCTCAAACCTTATGCGCAATGACAAGGATGTGATGTTTTTCAAGGTGTGATATAAGACAATACATTTGTATATGTTTTCTATATATTATTCAATCTAATTATGATATTAACAAATTTATATTCATATTAAAAGAAGAAAAATCATATAATTATTAGAGATATGGTCTTTGATTAAATATACAACTTAAGGATTGTTTGGCAGTTGCTGAGTGGTTTGATGTAAAATGATTAAAAGAATTTCATGATATAGTGCAAAATGAAATATAATTGTTTGATAATTATTCACAATGAAATTAGGGCGCTTAATGGTTAAAGGAGACACAGGATACAAAATCATTTAAAGAGTTTTAGAACCATTAAGAAACGGATTTTTTTGCCAAATAAGATGCACCTCTTAACAATTCAAAGACTGCCTATTAATAAAACTATTAAGAGATAAACAAACAATCTCATAGAAAGGTAATTTACAATTTTGTTTTAATCATGAGTCCATGACATGAAATTGTGAGTGATGCCATTAGATAAAATCTATAAAATTGTAAAATCTAAAGTAAAAAGTGTAAAAACACAAAGGCTAAAAAAATGAAAAAAATTTCTTGAAAGAAAACGCACGTCATAGCGTGAGTCATGCCTTATAAAAACGCTATTAGGCCTTATCATAACGATAAAGACTCATCTTATGACGTATCACGTCATGCCACGCCTTTTTGAACACATACGCTAATAGCCTTGGCTTGAAGCTCGTAGAAGGTTCATATTATTTGACTATGCTTTCTTCAAGAGTAATGAACTTTTTTAACCATTGTAGTTGATTTTCCCTTGTAAGATCACTAGTTTTATGGTAAAAACTACCAAATAAACATTATAGTTTGCAATATCCTCCTACTTGCTCACACTCCTTAGGGGATTCTCACAAAAATAGCTGCTCTACTCTTTAAAGCAGAGTCGGGATTGTGTAACCCCCCTCCCCTCTTTAAAGTAGGATTTCCAAGGTACGTTTAGTTGGTTTTTGAACGCTACTTATTCGCTTGCTTTATGCTAATGCTAAGCCTGCTCGGAGTGGTCGTAAAATAAAAACAATGGTGCAAGACATCAAATAAACGGATAGTGAATTTGAAAATTCAAGAACTACCCAATGGTCAATGGCCATGCAGCACCCACGTTACAGGCAGATCCTTACCTCCCAGGAGGTCAAGGGTTTGAGTCTCGTCAAATGTGAGAAATGTGTATGTGTGTGTTTTTTGCGTATATAAATATACTTAAAGAATGTGAGAACTCATGTTTTATTATCAGAACCAACAAGTGAAGACTTACTCGGGAAGCTTTGCAAGTGATTTGAATGCAGGTTGCAGCCACCATCGCATTGCCGCCAAAACTGCTTGAATTTGAGCAAGAGGGCTCTGCAAATGATACATATACATATACGCATACATAGGCGAAGGATCGTGTGAGAAAAAAAAAGTTAAGATGAGAAGCATAAGAAAAGATCTGAACCATTGATCACTTATAATCTCATCCTACCCATGAATTACACTTTAAAAAGAAATTGATCCAGTGCACCTTATTAGTGTTGACATTCAATTAGAATTGATCCAATGGTGGAGATCTCTTCTTACGCTTCTCATCATAACTTCCCTTCTCACCGGTATCCAACCCTGTATGCATATACATATACATCCCTACATATACAGAGGCGAATGATCGTGTGAGAAGGAGAGTTAACATAAGAAGCGTAAGAAAGGATTTGGGCCCTTAGTCACTTTTAGTGTCAAACCCACCCATGAATCACGTTTGATACGAGCATTAATCTGGTGAATCCCCGTGCATCTCATCCTAATATGCATCCGAGGATAAAGATCCTTTCTTACGCTTCTCACCTTAACTCTCTCTCTCTCTCTCACTGAAACCCACACACACGCACGCGTGCACACACGCACATGTAGCAATCAATAATGGACACTCCTTGATGTGAAAAATGAAGACATCATCGAATGAACCCTGCAAAATCTTTCTAACAAGGTTGATGTTCAGAAGTCATGTTGCCATCCCAAAGACACAAACGCTTACAAAGCCATCTCAAAGCTACAACTAATGCTACTTACATCGAAGAAAAAGGTTCCAAATTTCTTTTTTTGGCTTTCAAGCTCACCCCGACTAAAGAGATCTAGTAAAAAACCAAACGGAACAAGCCAAAGCCAATCAGAGTTTTCATATTCTAGCTAAAAGTTATTGTGGACAAGACAGGACAGTACTGGACCGGCAAGAATACATACATACACACACACACACAGAGGTCGTTCCATTTACAAACCCAACCATTGGTACAAACCATACAAACCAATCTCAACCGTCCATCTAGTCTAATGAATATTTGGTTCAATGAATATCTCGGTAGTTTCCTAATATAAAGCGTTGATCATAATAAATAAACTCTAATGATCGTCCATGATATCCAGATCATAAGAAAAAGCCCTTATCATTTCCATAAATATCTCATTAATTGATTTGTATGGTTTCTATTAACGGTTGGGTTTGTAAATGAAACCACCTCTCTCTCTCTCTCTCTCTCTCTATATATATATATATATATATACACACACACACACATATATATATATGGGCAGCTCATCTTATAGACAAGTTGATATAGCCTATTTGTTAACCAAAATGAGTTGGCCGAAATGAATAGGCTAAGGCTGTTCAAAATACTGCCAGTTTCATTAAGACGCTATGAATACTCAGATGATATGTTCAGTCATAAAATAGMAGAAATGCAATACGTGAAAGGTACAAAATAAAGGATGTGACTGTTTTCCAACCTCAAAAAACTAAAGAAAAATAACTTTCTTTAAACTCAACACAGAATGTCAACATTCTGTGTCCCAACACTGCAACAACAAAATAACCAGACAGACATATATATATATATATATATATATATATATAGGTCAGGGGAAAACTGCAAAATAATGAAAAATTGAGGAACACTGTAGTAACCATTCATACGGACGTTATGCGCATACAAGTAACTTGTAAGCAATTTGTCCGGTATGCGCATGTGCATAACATGCACACATGTCACATGCATAAAAACCAAGAAACAACTTCAATTACTTGTATGCACATGCACATACCATCCAGATGAATGGTTACCAGGGCTTCGTCAATTTTTCTTTTTTTGTATATGAAATTAATCAAGTACCTGAGGTGAGCGGCATGTGGAATCATATATTCAAAGGTGATGAAAGTGAAGAACAAGCCACAGCATTTTGCATTCCGGCACTCAGTATAGAACGCTGATTCATTGCATACTATACTTGCAGTAGCTACGAAAAGATTTGACTTCAAAGGCACATTATAATGGGTTTAAATGGTGACTGGCATAAAGGCAAGAATGAAGATAACACAACAAACCCATGAAAGAAACATAAATCATTTGAGCAAAAAGTTAATTACCGTCAACCGCGACTGGCCCACACGAAACCCGCCTCCTAGAAACCACACATGAGGAGGCATTCCAGACCCTGACTCAGCGCCTGAGGCTAACGGAGGGGTTCAAGCCCGTCTCCCACAAGATTCAAACTTGAACCTGTTGTGTATTTGATCAAAGTCATTCCGCCCTTTTACACGCCCGAAGGCAAAAACATACAGAATTATCCAACTCAGATGATCCAGAAAAGCCGACCACCAAGTACAAGAAATAAAGATTAAATTTTGGAAGGAGATAAAAGAATATTTCTTGAATATACTTCTAAAAGAGACTACACTATGAATGATGCTCTAGAGGGAAGAATCAATAAATTGAAGGAGTTCCAGTTTTGCACGATTACAGATTACAATGACACATAATTAACCAAGTATTACAAGTGTGAGGGTTTTGATCCCATGGATTGACTACGTATGGGATGGAACGGGATGTGTGGTCAATTACTTATCCCGAGCCACCCCATCATAGCTTAACGGCAGAAACTTCTATGTGTTTAGATTACGTGCAGCCTTTCATGCCTTACCATCTGATCAAAGAGGTTTGTTTTGTTTGTTGTCTCTTTTGAGTTGAACTTTCAATTTTTTACCGCCTAACTGGTATCCATTCATCATATTTATCGCAGCTTGTGCATCAGCTGGGGAGTCATAACTGACAAAGCCTGAAAAACCGGGGACTATTTAGAAGCGAAAATATTGGAAAATGTCCAAAATAGCCAATCGGGTCTCCCTTCTTCACTTTATAGGCACCTTTTCAAGAAATTGACTGGAATCGCCGGAAATTACATAAGCAGCGCTTATGCAACTTGAGTAACCCACTTTATAAATAAAATTATCAGAAAATTTTGATTATGCAGGTGATGAAGGATCGTATGAGAATATGAGTTAAGATGAGAAGCGTAAGAAGGGATTTGAACCCTTGATCACTTTTAATCTCACCCCCAGCCCATGAATTGCACTTACCACGGGAATTGATCTGGTGGATCTCGGTGCACCGCATTAGTGTTAATCTTCAATTAGGATTAATCTAAGGGTGGAGATCCCTTCTCATCTCACCCTTCTCACCATAACTTCTATTCTCACTAGGACCCAACACTTATGCAGGTTGTAAAAGTGCTACTTGCGTAATGTCTAGGTGGCATAATCTCTGGCTATTTCAATCGCAAGGTTGGAAATGTGGCTATAAAGTGAAGAGAGGAAACCTGATTGGCTATTTTGGACAATTTCTCATAAACATTGCATAATTGAATTGATGATTATAGCAGGAAGTGGAGTTCATACCAAAGCATTTGCTAACACCAGTTGCTTTGTCGACAAAAACCTTAGCACTCAAGACCCTTCCAAATCCCTTAAAGGCATTTGCAAGCTCTTCATCACCGAATTCTTGAGGAATATGGTAGATAAACAGATTGGCACCAGGTGGACCTGTAAAAGAAGCTAACCGTTTTAATTTATGTATACAAGAATAACAAAAAGGAAAATATGTAACTTGTCCCACATGGATAGAGAATTAGATTTTTGAGATCTTTATAAAAGCTTAAAGTTGTGGGCTACCAATAACTTCCACCATAGTTTTAAGTTGATTTGAAGGTTAGTGGGTGCTTTGGGCCATGGGACTTTGCAAATTTTAAAGTGAAAAACTATAACATCCCCTGGCCAACAGTACAAGATATTGTCTGTTTTATCCACACCTTGAGTAACGGTTTTAAAACACGTCTAATAGAAGAGGTATCCAATCCTTTATATGGCAACATTTGTTCTCCTCCCCAACCGATGTGGGATTTCACAATCCACCCCTCAGGCAGTCCAGCGTCCTTGCTGGCACACCATTCCAGTTCTCGGCTTTGTTACCATTTGTAACAACACCCAATTCAACCGTACCAGATATTGTCCGCTTTATCTCCACTTGGTCTCACGGTTTTAAAACGCGTCCAATAGGAGATATCTAATCTCTTATAAGACAGCATTTGTTCCCCTCCCCAACCGATGTAGGATCTCACAATCCACCCTCCTCAGGCTGCCCAGCAAGCACACGAGTCTGGTTCCTGGCTCCAATAATTTGTAACATCCCCAAGCCAACTGTACCAGATATTATCCGTTTTATCCGCACTTGGACTCACGATTTTAGAACACGTTTGATACCTTATAAGGAAAACTTGTTCCCCTCCCCAACAAAGCCATTCTTTAGCATGTTAAATGTGTGATTATGAAGAGGGCCCGCAAAATTTTAGGGCCCAATTTTCCATTGTTTAGCACCTTTCATCAATAAGCTCAGTGCCTCTCTAAATTCGTTTAGTAGACAAAAGTAATATGCCTCATCATCACTTCTGTAATTTGTATATATTTATCTTTGTTCTCTCATTTTGTAGGGTAATCAAAAGCTTTTAGGTGTAACAGGGACTCCAAAAATATTGGAACTTCCCTGCTCCCCAACCGATGTGGGATTTCACAAAAACGCAAACAAAGACTCAAGCTAGGTCGACTAAGATAAAAGATCTTCAACCTTCAACCTGATCACCAGGACTTGCAGAGATGCTAGAGGATGTTGCAGCGAGGTTATTCGCAATTGGTGGTGGTACAGGACTAGGAGGACCACTTAAAGGCTGGTTACTCATCATCCCCCCAGTGTACGCCAAAGGATATTGAGCTCCAGGAACAGCTGGATAAGTATAACCAGCCGGAGGAACTGCATAATTTCGTGGAGTCCCTCCTTGGTTTGCATGTGGAATCACATTAGGGAACGAAGGTTGATTCTGCCCTGGGGGAATGCGATACTGCATGAGCCCATAACTTCCAGCGGCCTACATGCAAAAGCAACTTTTACTCCTTCAGTTTCAAGTGCAGAACAGAAAGAAAAAGAAGATATCGTAATTTTATTTTTTTGGAGATGCAGGGGCAGACCCACATGGATAGATACGGTGGCACGGGCCATCACTTCATGGGTCCGTCGTAAGGGGGAAAAATTACATTTCAAAAGGGTGGCACCGTATTGTTTTGTTGGATGTCACCGTATTGTTTTTGGAACTCAAATATTAACACAAGACTTTAATGGCTAAGATGGCAAATGCTCCTACCCTTGTAGAAAAGACCCACGTTTGAGTCCCACAGTTATCAAATTTGTTGTTTTTTAGCTTAAATTTTGGTGTTTTTTATATACCTCGTGTTCTTTAAAATATGTGTAGACCAGACTCGAACATGGGTCTTTTCAATGCAAGAACAAGAAACCAACAGATCCATACTAATATTGGGAAGAAAAAAAAGTAGATATCTTTTTGTAGTCAAATTTTTCCACCACTTCAAAATTTTCTGGGTCCGCCTCTAAGCAAAGATTTTGGCCATATTGTTACAACAAAACAGTAATACACCTGATAGAACAAACCTGGTATCCATAACCATTATATGGTGAAATGTAGCCCATTGGCAGAGCTCCGAATAAAGAAGGATGTTGTGTGGGGTCAGCATTTGCCAAACTTGAAGCCAGTGATTGGGCTTTCTGAGCCTTCCGAGCTAACCTTTCCTTTTCAGTGTCTGCCCATTTGACCACCAAAGGGACCGGTGAACCCTAGTAAGGAAAGAATCACAAAGTTACATATGACCTAAACTAAGTAACTTGGACAATGAGAATAGAACGTTCAACTATTTGCAAGCAAAAACAGGGAAATGGAGTAAAACAACAGAGACAAATTGGCACACAAATCAATAACAGGAACTTTAACTTGCCAAAGATAAAGTCTGAAGCATGATTCACCCAGAAGGTATATAAGCTCAAGAACAGAGTGGGTAGTCAATTCAAGCCACATAACACCATAAAGGATTCCCCAAGTCAATCTAATCTTAACTTAGTGTCTAGAGGTGTCCTCTGGCCTCTGGCCTTGGGTCTCAAAACCAATTGACAATAAAAGAAGGAGAAATTTACAGAAATAGCCAATCTGCCAAAGGGGTTTCACCTTTTAGCCATTTTCAGACCTCATTTCACTTTGTAGCCAATCCTTACGCGAAAGGCTTACACATATGCGTTAAGAATTGGTTTTAGGCAACAAAAAAAAAAAGAAGTAGAATCCTTACGTGGAAAGTGGTATTCTGCGTAAGGATTGGCTAAAAACTGAATTGAGGTCTGAAAATGGCTATAAACTGAAAAGAACTTGGGAGACTGGCTAGTTCTATAAATTTCTCTAAAAGGAGTCATCTCAGGATCATTTATGTTCATAAAATTATTAAAATTCATCCAACTTGAGACAAGAACTCAAGCCCCTGGATTTGAAACCGTTAAGGCTTACTTTTTATCAAAAAAAGAAAACGTTAAAGCCTAGGTGTACATTTGCACAATAGCCAAGCATTTGGGACATTAGTCATAAATAGTTTACTCATTACTGTGAGTGTGTGTTATCTGTTTTGGTACCATTAATAATCCTTTTGCTTCCATTCTCAAAACCAAATGGCCATTAAGAAGTCACCCCTAGATCATACATGTTGATAAGTTAACGAACATCAATAATGAAGTCATCCTTAGATCATATATGGTAACTAAACCTCCCATGTACTTTTCATGCAAAAGTTCATTTATCAAATTGAATATAACCAACCTCCATCTTGTGCTTGCCATTAAGTCCCTCTATTGCTGCAACTGCTTGTTCTTTTGTCTCATACTTCACAAAAGCACAACCTGCCACCACATGAATAGAACATAAAGAAACCTACACGTAAGTTATTCAATTCATACTTCGCAGGATCTAACCAATTGGCATGAGAAAATACTGTGCTGCACCTTTGCTTGTCTGTTGAGAACCTCTTAAAATTTGCAAGTCTTTTAGGGTTCCAAATTGAGAAAATAATTCTGAAACTTCGCCCTCAGAAACATTCTTTGGAAGCATACCAATGAAAAGTTTGTGTTCTTGAACAAACAACAAGGAACCAATTAAAGCTAATCAGACAAAATTAAGTGAACCTTCGTATTAAATAATGACAAATTGAGTGGATATGAAACACACAAACAGTAATCCGCAATACAATAATATAGCATGCCACACCTAGCCTTTCCAACTCGCCATCGGCGTATTTCACTTGCAATGGACAAGATGCCTGATGCACAACAGAGGATATATATTGTTATATCACAAAAGGTGAACCATGAGCTAAATTCAAGACAAATGAAATTCCCAACTCATTTCCAGATGTGGTTAATGATATTGGTGGGTCCCTGGTTTAAGGTTTATAGAAATATACAAGGGTTTTGGCTAAGATTATAGTTCACGAGATCAGTAAGAGAGTGCAAGCAAGCAAATGTCTCTTTATATCTTAAAGATCCTAAGACTTTGTATTGACAAGAGTACTTTCATGCATAACAGTAGAAGCACTACGACATGTGAATCCTGTATATTTATAATATATAAAGCGACATTCTTAAGTAGAAAATCACAAGTTTAGCATTTCCATTGAAAACAACAATCAAATATACCCAATAGCCACCATTCACTCCAACTGCCCATCAAAGGATGGAGCCTGTATGTGAGTGATCTCTTGGTTTCCCGTTAAGCTGCAGGCAGAATAATCAACACGTATAGCCAATTAAACATTTACACATCACTTACACTAAACCCTGTTTAATTTTGACAGAATAGCACATCAATGGAAATAAATACAAGCACAAACACTCTTCTAAACATGCATTTAATTCATTAGCAACTCAAAACCATGAACAAATGATTTTTAAGTCTATCTTTTTGCTATATAAACACACATTAAAACTTTATACTACTTACAGCCTGATGTTTGATTAGTTAACCACAAGGGTTGTGGCGTAGTGTTGAGGTCCTGGGGGTGTGATGGAATATCCCATCTGCCCAGGGTTCAATTCCAGGCTTACACTACAATTGTGGTCACTTGGTTTATCAGGAGTCAGGACTGATTACTTGCTGTCATAATTTGTCGGAATTGATCAAGGCATAGCCTGGGACACCCTTCCAAGAAACACCTTAATTAGTCTAGTAACAAGAGCACATAAACACAAGGATACCCATGTGGGTGCAGCACATCCAACACAAGCAAAAAAAAAAAAAGCTATGCCCACAAATTTGCACTTGGAACACCACATGTGATTTCCATGTTTACATCATTTTGCTCAATAGTCATCGAATATAGTTTAGATTAAGAAACAATTATCTCATTAGAATTCCATTTCATTTGAATATTTCTCTAACTACTGTTACTCCCTCTACTCCATAAGAAGCATAACAATTCATCCTATATGTAAATCGATATAAGTATTCGACTGTTAGTCAAATGACAAACAAGGGAACTTGTATGACATTAACTGTTGGATTTTAAGTTAAAATGAATCTTGAAAGCAACCCAGTTCTCCAATTAATCTGCAACTATGACATTGAGAAAAATAAATAGGTAATTTAGCCTTTCAGAAAAAAAGAGAAACCTCAGGGTCATCCCAAATTGAAGATAATTGCAATTTTCATGAGAAAGTAAGTTCTAATTCAATGTAGATGCAGACTAGCACCGCATCGTTCTTATCGAACTTTTTAGGAATCAAATGAATCTTCACAATGCAATAATTTCCAACTTTGTAATAAGCTATTAAAATTAAAATTGAGTTGAAGAAAGGAAACGAAGAAGATCTGAAGAGATAATCACCCCAGGCAGTGTTCTCTTATTGTGACACGCATCCACAGCCTTGTCTGCTTCCTCCCTGGATGGACATATAACAAAACAACAACCTGATAACAACAAGCAAATTTTGGTATAAACAACGAATTTCCAATTGCAACAACCCAAATCTCCATATATATCGAAATATGTGAGAAATTTAGAAAAATTATATAAAATTAAAACGCGAATCACGCATTGTGATCCGGAAGTAACGTTGATGAAATTCGAAAAATGGAGATGAATTTGGGAAGAGAGAGAGAGAGGGGGGATAGTGAAAAATTTAACCTCGAGAGGCTCGCGTAGCCTTGTCTTTGATGATGTTGACTTCGTCTACAAGAGCAAATTCTTCGAACATTGCTGAAAGTTGTGATTCCGTCATATGCTTCGGAACTTGACCAACGAATAGCTTCACGCTATCGTCGCTGTGTTTTCGCGGTTTCTGACCTTCCGCCATCAATGCCGTATCTCTCTCTCTCCTCCCTCTCTCCGTCTCTGAGTGATCTCTCTCTGACTCTCTCTCTCTCCCACTCTCTCCCACTTTCTCTCTCTAGACTTGAGTCCTCATTAGTTGGATTCCTGTTTGAGAAAAAAGAGAGCTTTTCTAGGAAACAATATTTCAATGTGATCCCTCAACTATTCATAAATATCCCTTTTACCCCTCAACCATTTCCTATATAAAAATGATCAAACTTTAAAATATTGAAAACAAAAATTCATTCAACTCCTAACAGTTTTACTGGATTACAGTATTGATTATATCATCAAGATATTAATTTCATTTAATAAAATATTATTTTTCTCTTTAAATATTTATTTTTAAAGTTTTCTATTGGTGAAAATATATCAAATAATATTTCTCTCTGTAATTATTTTTAGAGTTTTCTCTAGATTTGGATATTTTTACATTCTTTTTTCTACTTTCTCAGTTTTGGAGAATCTATCAGAGCAAAAATAACATTCATAAATCCTTGTTTTCTCTATTTTGAAGAATTTGTTGGAGATGCTCTGAGATGTGTATACGAAAGTGTAACATCTCGCTTAAGAAATTCCCAAATCAATTTTATAAAATCTTCAATAAAATATAATTTATTGATTATTATGACCAAAATTGATCATAATTATTCTAAAAGTTTTGTCAAAGCAATCGGGGCCAAGGATGGAAAATATGAAAATGTTGCTGAATCGACTAAGTCTGGAGGAAGACCAGAGGCGATGAATTGGTCCAGAGGCAGGCGATGGACCAGAGGCTGCTGAAATAGCTAAGTCTGGAAGAAGACCAGAGGCGATAAATTGGTCCAGAGGCAGGCGATGGACCAGAGGCTGATGAAATGACTAAGTCTGGAAGAAGATCATAGGCGATGAATTGGTCCAGAGGCTGATGAAATGACTAAGTCTGGAAGAAGATCATAGGCGATGAATCGGTCCAGAGGCAGGCGATGGACCAAAGGCAGACGATGGACTAGAGGCTGCTGAAATGACTAAGTCTGAAAGAAGACCATAGGCGATGAATTGGTCCATAAGCGATAAAAATGGACCAGAGGCGATGAATTGGTCTAGAGGCGATGAAAATGGACCAGAGGCGATGAAAATGGACCAACCCTTTGAAACACACATATCTGGGCATAACATTAATTAACCTCAAATTATGGGATATTAATTTTATAGAAATATTCGTTCTATTTTAGTGATAAAACCACCCGAAACATAATTCCAAACCGGATATAACGGATTTTTACTTACAACCTGAATTAAGTAGCAAAAGAATACGAAACATATTTACAACCGAAACAAAACTATATATAAGCTACACTTACTACAACTATGAGATACGGTAATAAACTACTATTTACCAAAAGCAAGATCGAAATCTTCAAGTTCCCCGATAAATCTTCGAGTCAGACAACRGGTTCTTTCTTTTTATCCGTCTTCTTTCCTGAGAGAGGTTGCCACTTAAATTGTAAGCCAACGCTTAGTGAGTTAAATAGTTAAGTATTACATATCAATATCGCACATGTTTATAAATATACATAATAAACTCTTATCAATAAAAGAGTTCAATACATCATCCAGATGCAAACCGAGACTTAGAGGAAACCGAGTGAACAATTATGTACCGGATGCTAAGATCATAGGATTCCATATTCAAATCACCATAGTATATCATACCCTTGATGCTCAATACAACAAGGAGACAGGATCAACACCCAAATATATTCAGCAACGTTAGAATACCAATAAATATCAAGAACCAAGAGATTGAATCAGTATACATAACGAAGACAGTCCATCACCCCGTCCTTCACCTCCCGGGCTCATGCCAAAGTCCGAGTCATAATCATACATTACGGGAAACCTCGCACTGGTCGCCTTCCTCTACCGGGTATGTGCCAAGGTTCCCTACTCATTGTTCTTCCTCCTTTTCGAGCAATGAGTATTCACAACCGCAGAAAGTCACCCGTCCAACCCGGTATCTTGACTTCACCATAAACTTCCGGCGTGCCACACGAAGTAGTACCCGTACTATGGCGTACAATTCAAGGAACAAAACAGCGAGTCTGGATCCGAAAAGCAAATCGATGTACCGAGATAGTAATATGGAATCGACTCAGGAGACGGAATCAAGGACAAATAAAGATCGTGTGACTCCATTCAAGACCAAAAACATTCATACGAAAATATATATATTCAAATCAATATGTAACGATTAACTATATAACTCACCGGGTAAACCGTATATACCGAAAAGCTCCGAATTGAGCTTACAAAGCAAGTCCAATCTACCACACTTAGATTGCTTCCAAAGTATCAAAATATATCTTAATTACCCCCTGAAGTAAATGTACAAAATCTCATAAGCAATCAATATAAGAAACTCATGATTTACACATACCCTATTTGAACATTTTACTTAGATTTCTATGTACAACTGCTGCATGCAGAACTGTTTTTCCCATTTTAAGCTCGAATTCATGTTTGATCATAAAAATAAGAAATAAAGTAGACTCAACTATCTAACTAAGGAAATTGGTCTCACCTCGTTTGGATTTTTCTACGATTTTATACAGTTTTTTAAAGTCTGCACACTTTCAATGCATTCTTAAGTTGAAATTCTCATTTTCATACATTTTTCTCAAACCATTTCGATTCCAAACTATTCCAACTTATAAATTTCAACTTAATATAACCTATTTGACATAAATAACAAAAATCCAACCTTTATTTTATCATTCATATTATCTCCCAAATCATTGACTTGATCAAGTCAAAGTTCATATGATGAACTTGCTTAAATCTTGATAATCTTTTGAATCTAATGACCATTTCAAGCCAAAAACACTAAAATGCACTCATTTTATACACTTAAGATCAAACCCATATGAAACCCTAACTCTATCTCAACATACAATCCATATAACAAGAATGTCAACCAAGAACAAGTGAAAAAAATAGATTATACCTTACTTGATGATCAAATCCTTCAAAGATCTTGTAGTTCTTCTTTGATTTGAGTTGAATCGAGCCTATGTGTGTGAAAATCGCACCTCTAGTGTGTGTGTGAGTTTTGGACTTAGATAACATGAAAAATAGGCCAAAAATCTAATTTATAATGCTAAAACTCGAGTTGGGCCGGGTTGGCCCGGCTAGGTACCCATTTTCATTATCAACACTTAAAATATTCATAACTTTTCGCTCGGACCTCCGTTTTCTATGAGGTTTTCGCCTACACGTTCATAAAGAGATAATCTATAACATCCAACAAAAAATATTCCAGAAAAAATCTCCCAAAAAAATTCGTTTTACGTATCTATTTGACGTGATATTTTCCAAATCCTCTAATATATTCTTAAGAAATATAATTCTAAAGCTTCAAACCTAAACTCCCACTAAATCATGTGTTCTTTTTAACCCAATAATTAAATATACTTAGCAAATAACTTGGGCATATTAGAAATTGGATGTTACAGAAAGTCGATATAGCTAACACACAGTATTCATCTTTGGTAAGACTTGAATCAATGACCTCCAAAGGACCTAATATGGGTATGGTTTTGTGGCCAGCCTGGGTTCAGTCAAAGCTTGATTTATGAAGGTCATGAGATGTAATATATGAGAAGATGGAAATCAGTCAGTCTATCTTATTGACCCGACATGGTATTATTAAGAAAAACGAGGAAGCATAACCAAGTTGAAATGATAAATATCAACCCCTTTGTACTTTCACAAAAGCAAATAGTTGTCTTATAAAAAAATAGACGAAGCAAGATCGTCTCTGATTAATCCCGATAAACCTAGAAAAAACTTATGAATTATAATCAAACTCCCTCAATCCGTTATCAGGGGATAATAACCGGACCTTTGAACGAAAATGTTACATTTATAAAAACCAAAAATAAATATTGTTTACTCTTTTCGAACCAATAAAATAATATAAAAAATGGACAAATTGTATGAAAAAATAACGTACTTTAACTTAATTCCTCTTTTGGGTAACGTACTTTCAAAACTTTCATTTTGGTATCTAAGATATAAAGTTGTAAACATTTAAGTACTCGGGTAACCGGTTGAAACATTAACCGGTTACCATGCTGACGTGACGAGTGATGGATGAAATTGGGTTGAATAGCAAATAATACTGATTTGGATATCACATCACTCGCGACATTAACATGGTAATCAGTTAATACTTCAACCAGTTACTCGGGTACTTAAATGTTTAAAACTTTACATCTTATATACCAAAATGAAAATTTTGAAAGTACGTTACCTAAAATAAAAATCAAGTTAAAATACATTACTTTTTTCATGCAATTTGTCATAAGAAAATCCAAATAAATTTTAAAGAGTTGCACGGAATTATAAAAACTATGCATAAATTGGGTTTGAAACCACGTTTTTAAAAGGAAAGAGCGAGACATGAATTTTCATTTATAAACTAGTTTTGTAAGCAAATAAAACGTGTAAGTTGTGTTTACAATCTATACCTATCACTTACAACCTTTTATATAAWTTTTTTTTATTTAAAAACATAAAAAAAACAGTTTTTTTATTAACCTGTATATCTAATATGTTATGCKAGCCGACTAATCTCAGAATAACCATCTATTTTGCAGGTGACCTGGAGTCACCGTATTTGAATCTCCGTGACCACAAGAAGATTTTGATATTAGGAAAAAACAAAACGAATTAGAATTTTATGCAACTTAAGGTGATAATGAAATAGAACTTATTGTACATGGACCAAAAATGTCATTTTAAAAATATGCAAGGGGGAAAATGATACTTTTCCAATTAATTAACGTTGTACAACTGCCACCTGAGTTTTCGATTATTTACGAGGATGCCATTGACGACGGTTGTTTGGTTTAACCGTAAAAACAAGTTGGTGTTGTGAACATGGATCGACCAACCGACGGCGTTATGTAGTTAAAGCATCCTCGCTTCCAACGTATTTTTCGATTTTTTTAATATATAGAATATAATTTTTAAGACAAAATTAKAATTATTTTTTATTTTAATAAT